AATGTGTGTCTTATCACTAGGTCGTGTGGATTGAGTGTTGAGTGGCTTTTCCTGGAGAGGAACCATGCCAAGGTCTCCACTACTGGTACGTGATTCTGTACAAACTCAAATGTCTCAGCTTCCTGCACATAAAAGGGTATTCAAATAATGCTGCACCACATGAAGACATCTACAGTGGTTCTTCTGACTTTCCCAAGGCAGGAGCAGGAGCAGAGCCTCCCTGAAGTATGCCAGGAACAGGAAGAAAGCTGTCAAATGACCTTCGAAAGCAAATGTCAAATGACCAAGGAAAACAAAAGCACTGATTTATTTTTTATTTTATTTCAAATTTGGGAAGGAAACTGCACAAAAAGGAGAATAAAACACAGCCTTAGAGTATGCCAAAGACCAAATTCCGTTCTTAGCTGAGATCTGTGAAGTAACAACCTTCAGCTGTGAGCACGGAGGGGATGGCTCAGTAGCTCCGCTCTGAATGCTACTTTGGGCTATAACCCTGGAGGCAGGAGGGGGAAAACAGGGCTGCGCTCCAAGAGCTGCCTTTAACGTGTTAGTATCTGGATTCCCACCAGTCCAACGTTCTCATGAGGGTTTTTCAGCCCTACTCTGGTTTTGATTTCCATGGTATCTCTGTTAGTGGCCCGAACTGTGGATATATTGCACAGTCTTCGCTGAACACTGCTGCTCCACTACCTACAGCTGTCAAACTGTTGAACTCGTTGGGGATAACATGTCATCTTTTCCCTTCCTAATCAGCTGGATGTCATTCAGAAAGCTGGGACAAGGAGAAATTTTTCCCCAGACACCAGCTTTCCTTGGTAGCAGACAAACCTCAAGCCTTATAATACTACTTGTACATAGCACTTATATAGCTTTACATCGTCAAAGTGCTGTACTAGCATTAAGTAATTATCTTTCTCCCTAATGGCCATTAACACTGGCCTTTCATGAACCTCCCCCAGCTCCCTGAGGTTCATATCTAATACAGCAATAAGCTGCTCAAAGGGAGTGGCTGGTTATCTTGCAAGTCTACGGGCTTGGATGTATAATGGGGCTTCAGAGCAGAGGCCAGGTGCCCTGGAGTATCAGAAACATGTGGCTGTGGACCAGGTCATGCACTTGGGAGTATCCATTAGAAAGGGATGGAAACGAGTAGGTGATACTGTGATTTTGAAATGGAGACAGAAGAAGGAAACTTTGGCCGCTGCAAGGATATGCACTGATTGCTCTATTTATTACCAGGATAGTACTGCAAACTGAAAGAGCAAAGCTATGGGAATAACATGTCAATGTGGGCACGGGGAGTTGATCCAGGGAGAGAAAGTTAGAGAGCTAAAAATGCCAAGCAAAGCTAGACAGCCATGGCAATGGGATAAAGAGGCCAGTCTGCAGGTCTTTGAAGCATTAAAATAACAAGGAGAAAGGGTGAGCTTGGCAGCATCGTAGGATTTAAAGAGAGGAACAGAAGAGGATTTACTTGCCTTATTTGCTTGAAAGCAAATCCCTCTTCCAGGTTGTGTCTCCAGCGGAGATGTTGCAATGCCACTGTTCGAGGACATTTCACCCTTAGCGGCCTTCAGAGGGTGAACCTGCATGATGGCTGGGTTCTCCCATCCCTGGCTCCCAAGGGAAATGGAGGACGATGGGGTGGAAAGATGACATGACTGGTTTAGAAAAGACTCAGAAGTCGCATGCTCCTGACAAGCATCAGTCCTGCATGATCACTTATTTCTGAAACCTGCCAGGCCCAGCTCTGAGCAAACAGAGGCTTGACTGAAAAAAACTTTCAGCTTCTCTCTAAAGACACAATAATGATTCCTTCCAAAGCCAAGAAGGTGCCATGTAAACTGGCTTTGCAAAAGAAAAAAAAAAAAAAAAGCATCATTTTTTTTTTAGCCTGATTTAATAGCATCATTTTGCTTTTATGCTTCTGGCAATGGCTGGTCCTGTAAAAGAAGAATGTAGCCATGGGAATAATGTGCGAGTCTACAGTGGCATAACACAGATCACAGCCACTACATGTTATGCAAAGTATTTCTGTCACCCTGGACACACTCTGCTTCCTATGGCATCAGTAGCACAATCCCTCTGTGCTCAGCTCTAAATCATTTTGCTACATCAGCAAATAACAGGGCACGGCTGACTGCAGACCAGGAAGACCAGACTTAGTGTTCACTTACCATACAGCTTCAGAGCAGGGCCTTTCCCTGCCTTCCTGCATCTGTTTTCTCATCTGTGAAATGGGAATTTTAATCCTAATCAGTTTGCGAGGGAAGCAGTAAGGGATAGTCAAAGGCAATGCTTTAAAATGTAATAGTCAGCCTTATGTGCTAGGCTAGACATTGGAGTGGTTTTATGGTACAGTTTAATTGATGCCTGTTCTGCTTACAGCTATCTAGTAATGCTTAACATTCAAAAATGTGGCACCCTGTTTGACATGCAAAGAATACCTTCTTATCTATGAGCATAGCATATTTGGGGATCCAAACACTTCTGGGTATTGCTTGGGGTTTTTTTCCCCCCAGATTAATTTGATTGTTAATTATAACTGGATTAATTTTTAGTAAAAGATATGTCTCTCATGACATACAGGGCTGGGAGAAATGCTTTGGCAGTCCCTGGACTTCACCATATGAGCTAAGCCAAGACTGTGTCGTCACATCCTTGGGACAACCATTGACTATGTATGTCACTTTACTGGCAGTTCATCACCAGGATATGTCTAGAGGAGACCAAAGACCTCGACTATATTTTAGCTTATTAGAACTGAGATGAGACTAGTGGCTTCTCTGCTCTGCTCTCAGGGCCAGATCCTCAAGGGGTGTAAATTTGGGCTCCCATTCAAGCAATACTGCTGTAATACTGTTTGTGTAAGCTGAGGACCTGGTTCATAGATTCTGAACTGCTGTAGGACCTGTTCAAAAGGGAGTTAACTGAGCTCAATACATTGTACTGCCTGTAATCTCAAATGATCCTGCAAGATTCAGGATATTGCAGATGTAGAGAGCTTTGCAATAAGTAATCATTTTGAGATTGCTGGAAAACTGAAGAGTTAGTGCTACTTAAAGGAGGATAAAATAAGCATTAGCACAAAACAGTTTTTGCAACAATCAAGTTTGATGTATGTTCTGTTCCGTTGATAACATTTCCTCAGAGCCCTTCACAAGAAGGGAAAGCAACTTCTAAATGCGGGGAATGCAGGAAAGAGCTAAAATTGCAGCCGCGGTTTCAAAGGAACAAACAAAGAAAAGCATACTTCCATTTCCATTACGGGAGAATATTCTTGGGAGTTCAGAGCAGCAAGCCGTGAACGCGCCAGCCAAGCCATCTCTAAACAGGAGGTGTAGGGCTGCAATGAGCTTTTTATCTTTGTGCATCAGTTCTGAGCACCTCTGCACTTAGGAAAGAAAGATGTTCCTGAGACTTGCAAAACTCCTTCTCTTTTTTTGAGGTAGGGTCTGTTTCAGAGTTAGAAAAAGCGCTAGTCTGCAGACCTCCGGGTACAACGTTGCAAGCCCAAATCCAAATTCTGTCAAACCCCAGAGAAGTCTGACTCGCACCCTCCGTGCAGAAAGCCTGCTAAGCATCATATGCATTTCACACCCTATTCCAACACACCTCCCCAGCACTATCTCTATTGCTTCCAAGCACTGCAGTGTGTCTCTGTACTGACCCTTCCCCACACTAGTTCTGCTGTAATCAGGCAAAGAAACCTGTGGCAGCTTGGGAAAACTGGCAGCTCAGAGGAGAGCTTTTGCTTGTACAAGAAACGTTTTCATCCAAGCAAGCACAACAATCTCATTATTTTGAATAGCCACACATATGCTGGAAACCTAGATACCAGATACCTTCTACCCTGATCCTTCATAGGACCAGAGAGATTTCTGCCTGTTTGATTCAGTTGCAGTGCTACAGAGTTATTAGCACTTGCTTTTTGGTGTCCATAATGAGACAAGCAGTCTTCTAAGCAGCACCACAAAAGTGCTCTTTCTCATCACCGCTAAAACCTCGGACACTTTACCCTGAGCAGAAACAAGTGCTGGAGACTTGCAGCCATACTGCTTCCAGCATCGGCTGGTCTTACCAATTAGCTATTTCCCCACAGATGGTGCTTCTTATGTAGAAGGACAGAACAGAGAAAAACTTGTCCTGCTCAGACACACTTGCTTAGAAATCTCTAGGGAATCTGGAAGTAAATCCATCTGCTTTCAAACTGTTTGCATGTATCCTGCAAACCTGCTGGATTCACGTGACCTAGAGAAGAGTAGACCCTGACCGAGACAGTGCCTTTCCCTGGCTTGGCATATGCCAATGGGACTTTCCCCATGGGCTCTTCCATTTCCAAACTCTCCAAAGGGGCTGGCTTTCCTGCCTCCATTAAATGCTGGGGATATTCCTGCCTGTAAGAGCCTGTTCTTTACAGACCGCCTTTTTGCAGTGCGGTCCTGCAGTCATTTACATATTCAAAGCACTCTTTGAAAAGGCCTGTAGCACAGTTTTATGAGCACAAAATCTTTCATGCAATTAGGTGATGTGCAGATGCCTGTGCATGGCTTTTAGAAAACCTTACTGATGAGGGACAAACCTCACGCTGTATTTCTGGTGGGTGCCTCAGAGCACCGAGGCCCTGCAAAACTCAGCGCAATACTCTGCTGAACACTGTTTCTTGCCTTGCCTCCTGGTTCTTGCCTTGCCTCCAACTGTAGGGTTGGAGTATGCACTTGGCATTTTGTCATTTGATTTCTTTACAAGCCCATTTTTGGGAGGATAGGACATCATTTATCTTGATACATTTCACTCCCTATCCATCATGTTAACCAGGTGGGATTGGTGGGAAAGCCCATGGGCGGTCGGGGAGACAGTAGGCAGCCCAGCTTTTTTGAACAGCTCCTTGTTGATGTTGCTTACAGGGAGGTCCTGAGTTTGCCCACATCACATCAGGGCTGACCCCTTCCTCAGAGCTCTCATCACTCAGATGTCTTTGTGCCTTTGCCCTCACCCAGGTTGGAGGACACACCATGCTGCCTATCCGCTGGATGCCTCCAGAGAGCATCATGTACAGGAAATTCACAACAGAGAGTGACGTCTGGAGCTTCGGAGTGATCCTCTGGGAGATCTTCACGTATGGGAAGCAGCCCTGGTTTCAGCTCTCAAACACAGAGGTACAACAGTGCTGAGACACCTCAGCTGGGAACTGTACTTTTTACCATCTCTCCTTTCCAGATTGCTTGCAAAGTGGTTCGTACGTAGATGGTTCCCCTCCTCAGCACTCCCATGGCTTCGGCGTGGGAGAAGTATCATTATCTCTGTTTAAGAGCTGGGGAAACTGAGGCATGCAGGAATCAAAGGGCTCTGCCAAAGCCATGTACTAGTCATCCTCAGTATCTCCCTTCTAAGTTCCTGAGATACCTCCATCACAGCCACACCTGATTGATAAACTCTCGGTGTTTGTCAGAACTGGGGATACCCAAATTACTGCTGAGATCTGAGCTATTGTCATGCCCTGAATTTCCTCTGCTCTCTTTCTCCTTTATAGCTGAGGCTCTTGCCATGGTCTCCAGTTTATGAGAAAGTGTTTGAAGTCTGTTATATAGCATGTGGCACATTTCTGTGGGGCTTTTTGCCATAGGGATATCTATTATATGGTTTGCCCCAGTTCACTGAGGGTGGAACCCAAGGAGCTGGTTTGTCCTTTTCATTTCTTTGCATAGCAAAAGTTGCAGCCCATCAGTATAGGGCTACACTGTAAAAATGTAGAGGGAAGGCTGGCTGGGATTAGCAGAGTGTCAGAGCTGAGGTTTGAGGCACATCAGCAGAAATGCATTGGAAGATTTTTGCTCAGAATAGCAGGGGGTATTATAGAAGAGGAACAAGATGCATTGACATAGCAGTGTGTGGGAACCTTGCACATTTTTATCCTACTGTGTATCTAATGGATTTCAGAAATTTCACCTTTTGTAATGAGAAATGTGCATTTTCTGCTTTCTGGATACAGATCCCTTAATTAAGTGAGTTGCAGAGACGGCAAATCCAAGGTGTTGCTTTACAGCTCTAATACTTGCCCATTCGTGTGCTCAATGGGGCCTGACTGTATATCCCAAAGTAGCACACGCAAACGTTTTAGAGACACAAACAATGGAATCGACAGCGACAGAAGTTATTTGTCACGCTATTTAATGAGCTGCTCTTGCATTTCCCTGGGAGGGTAAATACAAATACACACAAATGAGCACGTGTAGCTTGTACATGGGTGATAGGCACGCTGGAATATGACAGCTCGGCTGCCCCTGTGCTTTCTGCCTCAGTTTCTCTTGCAGGGCAGTAGGACTGAGAATAGTCACCTCTAACCTTGAGGGAGGATGGCTGGCTAAAGTCTGCACAGATACAGCTGTATTGGCTTTTTTACCATCCATGGAAAACTCTTATCTTTTCCTTTCGTATTGCTGTATCCACTTCTTTCTGAGAGCTGAAGACTTCCACCCCAGACCAGACTATCCTGGTGGGAGGGAGCCACATCACCTCTCAGCTGGCTCATTTTTTTCACAATTTGTGCAGAGGTGGGTAGAACCTGAGTGGTTGCAGAGGACTGACACCTCCACCAGCTCCTGGATGGTGAGGAGTCAGAGCAAGCCTCAGCGGCAGCCTGGCCGCAGCTGCAGAGCCCTGTGGAGGGGCAGGTTAAATGAGTCTGTGCCAGGCTCCAGGCTGCCAGGACCGGACTGTGAGCAAGCACCAGGCTGGCCGAGTGTTGCCGTTGTAGGGTGCGGGCATTTAGCAAGGCTGGGATGCTCGCTCCCTCCTGTGACATCCGCATGGCATCATACCCCCAAAGCATTTTTAGCAGGTTTGTTCAAGGCTGGAAGAGACTTTGCCTGAGCAGAGGGATTAGGCAGGGCATCACCTCATCTGAAAACCTCAGCCAGTCCATTAACTTCTGTCTATGCCCTTCCTTTGTCCTGCAAAGAAAGGGCCCAACACAGGGCTCCTGTGCATGTCCAGGATGTCCTGTCAGAAACCATAACTCACCTCCTCCCACAGGTCACCGTTGCCAGCAGCTTTATGGCGGTGCAGGCTTCTCTGCATGCTGCGTCTTCCTCACCCAGCTTTCAGCAGGTCCTAATCTCTCCCCTCTGTATTTATATGCAAACAGCAAAGTGATAAGTATCCGTTGAGCTGTGTGGCAGGCCCATTACTATTCATAAATGATAAATTCCAAACACCCCTTGCTGGGTGGCTTCCCTCAACACACCGCTTGGGATCTGTGTTTATCTGCAGAGCGTGGCAGGTCACTTGCACACTGCGATGCTGGGACTCATCAACTCCAGCCAAGGAGGCCAGACAGTAATAGCAGCTCTCTGACAAATCATACCCACCTTCCTTTTGCATCCATTCCTCCGATGAGCAAAACACAAACAGACACTTAGGGGAGTCCTTTCCAATGGCATCCCTCTGAAGAGACTTTAATGCTGTCCAGGAGATCACATTTCTCTCATTAGCAGCACTGACCTGACCCAGAACAGAGTGTTAGCACCACAAATTTTTTTTTGCCATCACAGATGTGATTTGAGATGAAATTTCATTCTTTCAGCTGCTTTTCTATGTCAAAATGAGGCAAATCTGCCCTTGGAGATGGAGGTAGGAAAAGATGGTCTGAACTCTCCTTTATAGAACTCTCCTGGGCTGTGCAATAGAAAGGACTCATGATTTTCAGGAAAGAAAAATATAATTTCAGCTGTGCAAAATATTACTTTAGTTTCAGGATTTTAAGGCTTTTTATTCTTCTTCAATTAGCAGGAAAAAGTGACATCATAAATTGAAACTTCATTTCATTTGCTTGTGACCACCTGCTGGAGAGTGCATAGAGGTAGTTAGGTGTCAAATGGGGAAGGTTTTTGGGAACTGCAAGCCTGCAGCTGGAGACAAACTTTTCACTGTAAAATTATCATTAACAACACACAAACAGGTGAGCGCTGAGGATCTGCAGACCTCTTGGCTTCTCAGCACTCCCATTCTCTAAACTGTGCCACATCAGCCAAGAAGTAGCTGGGACAGGACATGTGCCAGGAAGTGCCCAACTGGTGTTCAGCATCTCTTTTCTTTTTTTCCTTTCAGGTCATTGAGTGCATTACCCAAGGCCGAGTTTTGGAAAGGCCTCGAGTCTGCCCCAAGGAGGTTTACGACATCATGTTGGGCTGCTGGCAGAGAGAACCTCAGCAACGGCTCAACATCAAGGAGATCTACAAGATTCTTCATGCTTTGGGCAAGGCCACACCAATCTACCTGGACATCCTTGGCTAGCAATGGCCACCTGTTGAAAGTCCCTGCTCCTTCCTTCCGACCTTCCTTCCCTCTCCCCCTCCCAAGTCCTTTGCCCCTCAGCTCCCAAGCAAACATCTTCATATAAACTCAAGTGCCTGCTACACATACAACACTGAAAAAAACAAAACAAAAAGCAAACCAACAAAAATCCCACAAAACAACGACCTGTAAGGCAGTTTGGCTTATATATATTTATAGATATCTCTCTATATATAACTTCCACACCAATACAGAAAGAAGCTGCTGTTACAGAAAATTATAAGACTTTAAAAACAAAAAGAAACAAAAAAGAGAGAAAAGAGTACTTAAAAAGATATATATAATTAAAAAAA